ACTCTGTTATTTGATCTGTTCGACGAATCGTATATTCTTCCATTTTAAAAATTATTTTATTACATTTATAATATTTGTCATTTTGATTGTATTCACACATACACAGACACTTCATTTATTTTGTTATTTTTTTCTCATACCATTTTTAGATCGTCATTTATTTAGAAAGTGAAAGTTATTTATATTCGATATCTCGCAAATCGTATATTCTTTTCATCGAGTAAAAGTAAAATGAATAAATTATGATAGTTGATCATCGATCATTGTCATTCAAACTAATGTAAGAAGAAGAAGAAGAATCATGTAATCACATCACATGTAAGAAGAAGAAGAAGAAGTAAGAATAATTTTTGTTTAACCTTTTATTTTATTGTCCTTCGTTCTCTTGACATTTAAAAATAACTTATCTCTTTTTTATAAAGTTACTATCAGGGATTCCCCTAGGGGTATATATATATATATATACATATATGTATACTTTAATGTTAGTGAGTATTCTTCTTTCATTTACTATATAGCAACATGTTGTATCATTTTACATTAAGAATTATTCAACGATTCTTATTACATTCTTTGTCAAGAAGAAAAACTTGATTTATTTTATTTCTGTTGTAAATTTATATTTTAATGGGTCCACTCAGACAAACATTACATTACATTTCAATTTAATTTTATATTAAATGTTACACATCTCGATTAATTTTCTAATTTATTTCAATGTTTTATATTTAATTGTTTTTTTTTTTTATAAATAATTTTTTTCATTATGATCAATGTTGAATGGTTTCTTTCCTTTTTTTTTAATTATAATTTCTTGAATTGTTTTAAATATAATTATTAGGTCAATGGTTTTTAAATTATTATTAAAAAAAATAGTAATAATAATATCTCATATCTAATTTAATCTCAACTTTGAAGCTTGCAATTTTCTTTACGACAAATTTGTCAAATTTAAAATTCAATGATACAAGATCTCATTTTTGTTACAATAATTATAATAATATTTAATAATATATAACATAAATTATAATATATTGCATTATTAGTATATTATTTATTTATAGTATAATATAGTATAATATATTAATTGTATTATACTATATTTAATTAATTAATATATTACAATATATAAAATTATTGTGTATATAATATATATTATAATATATATCATTATTAGTATATTTTAATATTTATAACATGTTAGTTTATATATAAATAATATACATATATAATATAACTTTTCTAATTAATGTTTGAATTATTTAATGGAATTAAAAAGAGTAATGTATACAATATTATAATAGCCAAATCATATTTTAACAAATTGAGGTTAATTTTGGGTGAACTTTAATCATGACAGTGTCATACTCTTACTACTCTTTATCACAAGTGTCAAATGTCAAATCATTTAACATGATTTATTTGTTTAGAAAGTATACAATTAATATACATACAAAAGGTTTGATCTTTTTGTTTTCTTTTTTTTTTTTATAAATATTTTACTTATTAATTAGTAATATATAAGTCAATTTCTTGAGACTGATTTTTAATGATAATGATGATGATGATGATGATGATGATGGTATGTATCTTCTTTGATTTTTCTAATGATTCAAAGCTATTGATTTTACATTGATCATGACAGTGCAATATAAATAAAATAATTAACATTACTAGTTGTTTTTTTTTTTTGTTTTAAATCAATTTATAACATAAGAGAATGTGTTGTTAATAATAAACGTTCGAGATAATGTTCATCAAGTTAGTTAGAATAATAATTTAATACGATGATTATTTTTTGTTTTTGTTTTTTGGTTTACATCAATTTAACATAAGAACAAATTACATATGATCTTACGTCAAATTCGTAAAACATATTTATTATTTATCGTGAAATATTTTTTAATAGATCGTTTAATAATAGATCGTTAAGTAATTGTATTTTTTTCTTTTTTTTTTGAAACGAATACATAACAAAATAAAAAAAAAAAAAATTAGACGAGTTAATATGTGACGAGTGAATATCGTTGATTAAATAGAAGAAAAAAAAATAATTATCCCGTCTACGATTAAATCTTATATATATATATATATATATAGATATATATTAAATGATCTTTACTTCTTTGTAAATGACAAAAAAAAAAAAAAAAGGTATATAAACCTGGTATAACAAAGTTTTGCGTAATATCACGTGAGATCGAATTTCAATTTAAAAACACGTTCTCTTTATTCGATTCAATGTGTTTCAAACTATATATTAACGATTTTTTTTAATAATAACGTCAAATGCATTTCGAAACGTAACTTTTATACAGGTTAAAATACTAATAATAACCATTGGGGACAATGGAATTTGTAATAAACATTTCTAGAAGTAAGTTTAAACAAAAAACAAAAAAAAATGTTAATATTGCGTGTAACTAAGAACGCGGATAAAAAGAAAGGTACGTTGATCGATAGATCATTTCTTTCTTTCTTGATATTTTTATTTTTTTTTCTTTTTTTTTTTTTTTTAATTCATTACGAAATTATTTTCAATCCAACGTGTGTTCCTCATTCCGTTGATAGCAAAGTATGATAACAAAGTATATTTAAAATAAATTTAATTATATTTCGAATTATTTATATTTTAATATAAAATATATATATATATATACACATATAATATATTATTTTATATAAATAATATATTGTGTATATATTATTTAATTATTATTATAAAATTATATATATATATATATATTAATATTATAAATTTATATTGATATATATAAATTGGATTTTATTAATATAATTATAATATATTATTTCTATAATATATATTTTTATTATTATAATAATATATTAATATAATTATAAGAATTTTATATATATTATATTTTTTGATTATATTTATATTT